GATGTGGCGCATGCCACAGGTCTACATTGCTGATGTGGCGCATGCCACTGGTCTTCATTGATGATGTGGTGCATGCCACCTGTCTCGACTGCTGTCTACATGAGGTGACTAGTTGCGAGGAGGAGGAAGATCGGGATCTGTGGATGACTGGGATTGTGTACTCACCTGAGGTTTACATAGTCACTATATTCTGCTGAGTCTTCATGGTCTTCAAGAGATGAGAGTGCCACGTGACACTACTGTGTGTTCAGGATTATTATACTTGTTATCATATACTGGTTGTTGACGTGGAGAGGGAAGAAGCCCGGAGAAGAAGTGGGGTTTGATGGGATTATAATTGTGTGATCATTGATCATCTCTTCCATTCTTCTCCTCTGTCTATTCCCCCTCCGCCCTCTTTGTCTAATGGTAATGAGATACTGGTTCAGATATCATTTCACGATAATTGGGGACTATGCAGCAGATACTGAGACTACTGATGTTTGACAACTGATGAGTATCTGCCAGACTGGGTTCATTACACTTCGAGTTCTCGCTGAAAAAAAGAAATCTGCAGGAGAATGATCTTTCAATTTGCAGAAAGAAAAAATAAACCGCAGTTTGCAGGCTGTCGACCAACAGATTGACTAACAGGGCTTTATTATAGACTGCGGACACAGAGTCACTGCGCGGATTGTTCTGATATGGCTGATCGACCTTCAGGTCTGACAAGACTGAACTGGACTGACACCAGATTTGACACGACAGACCAGGACAGGACAAACTGACATATCAGGGACTGCAATCACAGTCTGTGCGCAGGCTCAAAGTGCTGGGCGCTAGTAGCGTTAGTTGTAGTCTTCAGCGCTGGGTGCCATAGCTAGAGTAGCACTAGAGAGAGAGAGATTGGGTGCCTTGGCTCCAGCTTCGTCTTCGAGGTACCTGCAGCACAGAGCCATCTTCACAGGTTAGTACCTGGCATACAAGAGAGAGAGAGAGTGTTCTTCTTCTTCCTCTTCTCAGTCCATCATCTCCTTCTCACCCTCTCGCTATCTGACTTCGCTGCATCAGCAGACTACGAGAGAGAGAGAGAGAGAGAGAGAGAGAGAGAGAGAGAGAGAGA